TTTGAACTTCTCCAGCCCCTTTCATCTAGGAATTTCAATTTGCTTATTAAACCTCACTTTTACTTTATCACCCCTTGTAAGGAAATAAAACTGTAATACTTAGACTTTATACATTCTGTTGTAGTTTTAAATACTTTATAATCATTCATTTGTTGTTCAAGGCTATAACTTACTGAGTAAGCTAGGGTAATTACCCCCTTTTATACAGATAGGGAAACTGAGACATAACAACCTCTTGCCAAGACCACACAGTGAGGCCGCTGCAGAGCCAGAATCAAGGCTAACACTTGAATTTATGCAGGGCTTCTTGGTGGGAAAACTAAATCAGTTCCCACGCTTCTTCCTGAATGCACAGGTAGCCTTAGAAGAAGGAACTTCAGAATTTTAAAAAATCAACTCAGAAGAAGCAGAATGTTAAATATTCTACACACTTCAAACTTAGAAGGACTAAAGAAAGGCTAACTGACAACTCAGAATAGAATAGTAAGAGAAAAAGAGGAAGTGGGCAAAATTCATTGCTTTTCCAAAGATTCATCCCTAACTTTCACAATGGGTAACTGAAGACGCTAAATAACAACATATAACTTGCACTTATGTATGCATTGGCATTATTTGATTGCAGCTCAAATTGCCTTTAACCCACTATTCTCTGCCCACCCTCCAAGCACTGGGGAAGAGGCTGGCAATATCCTAAATGTATTACATTTCAAATCCTCCCTTCAGTTGCAGTGACAGCAACATTGGTGACAACTCTTAGACAGTACGGAGCATTTTTAGCCCTTAGAACCTACTCATTTGAAGTTAGTGAACTTCTGAAGAATAATTGCCTTAAATATCATATTTTAAAATTCAAATATTATGCTGAAAAAAAGCAAATACTTCATCAGGCATTTGTGGTCACTTGACCTTTTCCAAACCTAGAATGTTAGCCTTATTAAAATCCACAGCTTTTCTGCCTCTTTCCATTGGGAAAGGGAGGAGGGAAAGACCTAACCCTTACACAAGTATGTTATTTAACTTCAGAGGCCACCGAAGTATTTTATTTCCTTTGTGAACTTTCCAAGTGCCTTCTGCCCTAGGCAACAAGCAAAGAGTGAATGTAAGGAGTGGTGAAACCAAAAGTGGCTTGGCTGCTCCTGTCAAAAAATAAAAATCAACAACATGTCCAGCAATTGAGATAAATACCCTCCAAACGTGCATCTTGTACATGAAACAGGGTCAGATCAGGCCGGGCCAGGTCATTGTCCCCAGTGGTAGTTATCGATGGAAAACAATGTCACAGGCAAAGAACCATGGACCAAAGAATTCCCCCTACCTCCCATATCCCCATACCCTAAAGACAGATCATGCACTTTGGCCATGTATAGAAAAGCAAAAGTAAATAAAACATCCCTTGATTACTAATCTCAAACTTCAGGCAATGTGTGAATGAGATGACCTGGAGTACAAGCAGAACTCCACATTCCTCAGCAGAAACCTAGCACCATGCGTATTTTCGTCAATGTAATACATTAGATTGCATTTAATTCAGAAGCCAGACTCTGATTTTCTGTAAAGTATTTTCTATTCTTCCATTAGCCCACCCTGTAAAACAACAACAATTAAAAAACAGAAAAAAGAACCTCTAGACCTTTCATTTTGTTTTCCAGAAATATTGCCAATTTTGCCAGGTTAAAGCCAAGATTCACCACCGCCTGTTCCCCACCAACCACACCAAAATCTGAGCAAAACTATAGTTTCAGACGTGACAAACACATTGCAAGAAGAGTCAGAACAAGCAAGTTATGGAAACAGGAAAGTATTTAAAACCTTGAATAAAATATCCTTGAAGCACTTAAAACACACACACACACACACAAATTTCCAAGTCAAAGGGCACATCAGAAGTCCTCTTAAGGAAATATAATTTGACAACGGACTGCCCAGTAGAAATTTACACATTTATACCATTGGTAAAAGCTGTTCACTAGGTGCAGAACAGCTAGACTCCAAGTTCATGGAAGAAACCACCTCTTCAAATCTCAATAGAAGGTTAGAAGGCAGTTGCCTGTAGGCTTGGCTTTAAATCTGCCAAGCTGGCTTGAAGGGCAGCTCATTTTTTTTATACAAGTCTTCATTCAAATACAAAATGAGACCCAACTGTCCCTTGCAATTACATTTCAGTGGCTTGAGCTGGGTGTTTGTGTTTTTTCTAGGTGATTAATAGTGCTCACATTTAAATGGTCACAGTCAGCCTCAGCAGTCATTAACACCCCATTAAGATGGATGAGAAGAACTTTGCACCTTTTGTTTCAGTCTGCTGGGCCCTGGACTTAACAAAACAGCGAGGCACTGATTTAGGAAGGGAAGATTATCTGTATAACCAGACAAGCTAAAACTTCCTTTAAAAACAAACAAATTTTCAAAATCCCTTATAAAACCTTATTTTTGGAAACACTCCTCAAATATCATCTTAAGACCATTAAGCCCAAAGTTTCCCTGTACCTGAATTTATGCATATATTTGGCATGGTTCTTCGGTAATGTTTACAGAGCTCTGGGTTTCTTCATGACTGTTGCCTTTGCTCAAAGCCTGTAATTATGATCGGGAGACTTCTGTTTCTAAGGAAAAGCAATAGTAACATGAGTATCAAGTTGCCTTTGAGGAAAAATACATTAGTGAAACTCTATGTGTGACAATCAAAACACTGGCTCCATTCCTCCCAAATGGTAGTAGGAACCTCTTGTATTTGGAAAATTGAAGTAAGAGTTAATTGGTTCTATTTAAAGGAAAACAATGAAGAAGCTAAAAGTCTACAGCAGTATGCTGCCCAAGATTTTGTTTAACCACCAGAGTGGTCACTGACACTTGGTATTTTTAATTTCTCCTCAAAAAGCATTCTCTCACGTGCATCCAGTATGGTGACAGTGGTGAATTTGTAGCAAAACCACTTGTTCACAAACTTGCAACACAGAGTACTTCACCTTTTTGTGTTGAAGTCCTCACAGAGACAGTACGATATGCCTTTAATTGATAGGTCTGTTCTTGAACAGGTGGTCAGTCAATCAACATGGTATAACCATTGTTACCATTTTGACTTATCAATTAAGAAAGTTAATTTATTGGACTAAAAGTTATTTATGCTATTGCCTGTTATCTTCCATTGAAGCAGGTATTTTTCAAATCATACAGAAAAGTATATTTTTAAAGCAATGACAGCATGCATATCTTAACCCAGTCACATAAAAGTTCAGAATCCATGTGCATCTCACATCCTTCACCTGAGTATTACACATACACACACGCCTGATATTTTCTTGTTATACTTTTATGTATTATAGGAAAAGTTTTTCCCAAGGAGCAAATGTAGCAGTGTAACTTCAACATTTTAACAAGTTATTTACACCCAATTTCTACAGAAGGCAAAAGTTCTTTCTTCTAGCCATTTGAAGATCCCAATAGTTTTAAAAATTATTAAATTCCGATTCATCCCAACTTTTAAAATTATAGTTAACCATTTTTTTCTTCTCTCGTATTTGAAGGACTGTCCTGCTATCAAGGACCAATCCCTCTACTAATGTTGTAAAATTCATCCTCCTCATCCTCTCTAGGATTTCATACCCTTTTTACTGCATCATCAATTTCTTTCTCTCGATTGGATCTTTCCCATCAGTACACAAGCCTGCTGTAGCAAGAATGCCCTCACCAGATATCAGATCTGCTGGCACCTTAATCTTGGACTTCCCAGCCTCCAAAACTGTAAGAAATAAATGTGTGTTACTTAAACCCATTTATGGTGTTCTGTTCTGGCAGTCTGAATTAAGACAGATCTCATATCACCCACCAATTGTCACTCCATTTCTCTGCTGCAATTCACAGGAAAAATTTTCAAAATAAATTCTCACATTCTAATCTGCCATTTTTATTTCTCCTCCCTCCAGCCCCATTTGTTTTCTGTCCCCACCACTGCACTGATATTGTCATTGTCACAGCACAACCAGTAAGCTCCATATTATTAGTTCTCTAATTTCTTCTGTGACCTCATCCTAACTGGGTTCTCAGTAGTGTTTCACATGCTGTCTAATTTTCTGTTTCTGGAAACACTCCCTGTTCTCCACCCTGTGGTGATTTTCCTACTTCCCTAGTCAGTACTTCTCAGACTCCTTTATTGGTTCTTCAACATCCACCTGACATCTCATTTTACAAAGGTCCAAGGCTTAGCCCTGTGCTTTTTATCATCTTTTAGATGGAATGATAGATAATAATACTTGAGGCTCATTCTCCATCTTCTTTGGCTGAGGAACCAAACACAGAAGCCAAGGTAGCTTACTGTGGCAGGAAGAAAATCTGTAGGGTATGGTATTTAGAAAGTGGACGTGAGCAACAGTGCTAAATGCAACCAGCAATGAAGTAAAACGAGCATTGAGGTATGTCAATTGAATTTTTCAACATGGATTATTAACAACCTTAGAGAGAATTCTTTGGGGCAATGGGACAGAAGGCAGCTGAGAGTGGATAGAGCTGCAAGTGAGAACAGAGCAGAAATAAGGATAAGAGACAATTGTTCAATGACTAAGTAGTCACATGCTTTAAAATTCTTTGGAATAAGCAGTATGATTCATATGTGTATGTAAGTTAACTTTAATCAGACCTCAGTAGGAGGTTAGTTAGCACTTAGACGAATATCATCAGGAATCCAGTCTTACGGAGGCACTAAGACAAGTGCTTCAAATACTATCTCAATCAACCCCAGATAGTTAATTACCTTAATGGATGTTGGAAATAAATTTTCTTTTGTGAAATGTTCATGTTATTTGGGAACAGAAGAGACTGTGTGGGTTCTAACTTCTCCATCTGAAAGAAATTAAAGAATCTAGCAAATCTAAGAGCCTAACACCTTCTAACCACAGCCTAGGTCTGCAACCCCTGTGTCCTCCACACATACGGGGCTCTGATGCCCCATCCAGTTAGAAGTCCCACAGAATATCAGATGTCACTTTAGAGTAATTATTTTATGCAAATCCCAAAGGACAGCAATTAAAGTCTTCATTGATTTTATAGGAACTGGTTTTATAAATTTTGTGTCTATTTTCTATTAGCAATAATCGCACCTCGGATAAACCTCATTGGCTACAATACTGCCACTGTGCAAAGCTATTTTTGTGTCTCTTTTCTAACAGATATTGGTATAAGTAGCAGATTTCAAACTGAGACTTGCATCCATTGTAACACACTACCTGAAAGCACAATTACAAGGAGGAGCCATAAATCCTTCTCTACCTCTAAGGATCAGAAAATACCAATGTTTACCAAAATACCCTGTTTTCTAACTGCAAATTTAGCTTGAGGTCATGTGGTAGCAACTCTTTAGAAAAGTGTAGCTGTGAAAGGAAAAAGAAAGGCAGGCAGTAGATAGATGAAGGGAGAGCCCACTAAAATAAAGAAAGTGATTTTGGAGGGCACAGTGGCTCAGGCCTGTAATCCCAGCACTTTGGTAGTCCAAGGTGGGAGGATCACTTGAACCCAGGAGTTTGAGGCCAGCCTGGGCAACAAAGTGAGACCCCTTCTCAAAAAATAAATAAATAAATAAAAGGAAGAAAGAAAATATCAGCCAGCGGTGGTCCCAGCACACCCTGTGGTCGCAGCTACTCAGTAGGTGGGAAGATCCTTGTGCCCAGAAGTTCAAGATGGCAGTGAGCCACTAGACTCCTGCATGTGCTATAGGACAGGGCAAGCCCCTGTCTCAAAAAAAAAGAAGAGGAGGAAAGAAAAAGGCTTTTGTGTTCATTTTTGTTTAGTTGTTGTGTTTCTAAATGGAAGAAAAGGAAGAGAAGATCAGAGACTTAAGACACAGGAATAAAATGAGAAAGAATAGTGAGTGGCAGCCAAGAAGCAGAGGAAGAAGGGACTTAAACAGAGGGAATGATAGGCTTTAGAAACATCAGGCTCCCTCCCACAGTAAACAGAGGGAAGGAAATGAGGACGAGGCAGTGGTGGGTAGCTTTGCAGATTTTATAGCAGAGATTTGAAGATCTTACCTATTTCTCCCTGAGGTGAAATACAGGTAAAATCATTCTTTGAGGATAAGTGGAGAGGTAGATAATCTACAGATTTTAAATTCTCCAAATATAGAATTGATCAATGGAACTCAAGTTTAATATCTAGAGTTTATGGTGCCGGTTATTCTGAAGCTATCAAGATTGTGCTTGTATAAGAATATAAAGGCCAAAAAAAATCTGAATTCACCGTGAAATTTTATTTTGCTTTTTCCTAGAGTTTCCTTATTTCCAGTGCTCAAAATGGAGAAGGTGATTTAATCAGTTCATCTGAGAACTGGATCACTGCCTAGTAAAAGGCATTGATGTCCATTACAACATAAATACCTCAGTAAAAGGCTGTAGTCACTCCTGTAGCTGCATCCGTATTTCAAGGGAGTTAGGGGAAAGAAGGTTGATATAAAGAGTATTAAACTCAACTTTTTTCTTTTTGCTTTGCTTGCCTTATTTCTTAAGTAAAGTAATTTGGGAACAGGGACCTGCTTTCATTTACCTGGTTTTGCATTTGTTTCAAACCAGCTTTTGGGTTATTGTTTGTTTTGCAGCTGTCATTCTAACTTCTCTTATTCCATTTCAAAACCAACATTTTAAGTCATTATCTTTTAGATGCCAGTCTTATGGGAAAGTACCTGCTATAAATTGCCAGAGAGCAAAATTTTAGTTTCTATACTACTATTTTCATATTAAATGGAAATATTGGTTAGTATACCAAAAAAAATTCTTTTTCTGTTTTCTTCTTAACTTTTTATTCTATATGAAGCTCCAGAAAACCAGTGTTTGACAGAGAGGTTATACACAAGATGCAAAGGTTAGAAAGTATGTGGAGTCCCACTACATATGGTCTGGGGTTTGGGTATTATTGAGACTTAGAAATCTGGAGTATTTCGTCTTGATCCTAAAGTCCCGTGGAATGCTTTGGGTGTCTCACCACATGGTGGAAGAGATGGGAGAAAACTGGCAGAGGCTCTCCCTTCTCCCCAGTTTAACTGATTGAGACAGGGCAATTTTGCTGGAAGAGTCTGTTGGCAATCTGTAGGTCTCAGCTTGCTCCTCTATGCCTTGCTGCGAGAAAGAGCTGTTGGAAGAGAATCAAGGCATGAAACTTTTGCTGCTCTGGTTTAAAGCTTATGAAAGCAAATGATCTCCAGGGCACTAATCCTTTCACCTTAGTAAACATGCAACAAATCTACACGAAAGGAAAGCTGAAAGACATCCCATTTCTCCTCCTGCAGCAACTCAGGCTCCAGACTGACTAATAGGTGTCTCATGAGTCTCTGCAGGAGGAGAAACGTCGTAAGAAAACAAAAAAGACAGAAGTTGGAGGGTAAAAAAAAATCACGAATTCCCATAAAGCCCAAAGTTGCTCTGACTAGAAGCCATGTGTTATTCCTCCTTGTCCTTACCACACAGATAAAGATAGTTTGACAGAAATCAACATGGGTTGCTAATAGTCATTTTGCTTTATTTTTAAACTCACAACAGGATGTCAGGTTTTGTGTTGTTTTACTTTTTAATCAACCCCATTCTTTCCTATTTACTGGCACAAACTCCCTCGGCAACTTGCTGTGTCAGGGAATGACTTTGAGAGGCAATCTATTAAACTCAAACTGAAGGATTTTTTTCCCCTGTAGATCTGTTTACCAATTTTAATTATTGATTGAAAATTGTTTGCAATGGATAAAAATACACACTGAAGGTAGGGGGTGAAAACAAAAACACACACCCAAACCCAAAGATATTTTTCCCCTTAGTCATACATTTCTTTTAAAATATTGGTATGGATTGTCAGTGTATTTGAGGACATTTGGCAATCCCTACCAGTGCTTTCATCTCCGGAAATTGAATATCAGGTCAAACTAGTGGTTTTATCAGGCCCTTATCAGCAAACAAGAGGATGAAAAATAGCATTTGATATATAGTCCCTAGAGAAAGTGGTAAGGCAACCTGGTACCAAATTACAGGAAAACTCCAATTATGGATGTTATACCAAGATTTTAATCAATAAAGCTGTGACTTTTCCCCACCAGGGACACATTACTTGGTGAAATACCTGAGCTTGCTTTAAAACTGGTCTCTGGGCAGTGTGAGAGGAAGAGACGGGAGGAATGAAGAGGGTCACACTACATCTAATCCAAACACCTTTAAAGAGAAGAAGAGAAATCCATGTTAGAACAAATCTAGGCAACCATCAAATGAAGATGTCCTTCCTGAATAATAGAAAGGAAAGTCGCCCCACCCCAGCATGGGGATTTTGCCAAAGAGCAAATCACGGATTTATGTTCCTCTTTCAGTCTCTTCCCTCCAGTGTAATGATGAGAAATTCTGTGAAAATTTCAGCTATCACCCATTATAAACCATTAACAGAGGTCTTACAATGACTGGGGATTTTCAGCCATCTGCCAATGAGACAAACACAGCTGGAGAACTGAAATTTTCCCCTTGCTGGTCCAGAGACAGACTGGGACACTGAGGGCCCCAGATTGAGAACATCAAGAAGTCTTTTTTTTTGAGTCAGAGTTTCGCTCTTGTTACCCAGGCTGGAGTGCAATGGCACGATCTCGGCTCACCGCAGCCTCCACCTTCTGGGTTAAAGCAATTCTCCTGCCTCAGCCTCCCGAGTAGCTGGGACTACAGGCGCGCACCACCATGCCCAGCTAATTTTTGTACTTTTAGTAGAGACAGGGTTTCACCTTGTTGACCAGGATGGTCTCGATCTCTTGACCTCGTGATCCACTTGCCTCGGCCTCCCAAAGTGCTGGGATTACAGGCTTAAGCCACCGCGCCCAGCCCATCAAGAAGTCATTAGAGGTCATCATTTCAAAGCCATAGGAATGGGTCTTTATATTACAGAAGGGAAGGGAGTGAGGATAGGGAGAAAGATGAGATCTGAAGTCAGACCAAACTTTATAGCTACAGTGTATGATTGCCTGAACCTGGTGGTGCGACCAGCATACACGCACCCATCATACATATATCCACCACGACATACAGGGTGGATATAAAGCACCTGACTTTACCAAAAGACCAAAAGAGAGGTGAGTTTGCAAACTGACTGCATCAATAAGATGATCTCTATGAGGGACCATAGGAAATATTAAACATTAGCTGCAAATTTCCCCTTACTGCGTGGTCACTGCCTTAAGTGAACCCAGCCCATCTTAATATCAGTTATATCTACTCCTTGAGTGGCAATGCTGAAGGAACAAATGGACAGGATAGTTAAGGGACCTGTAGCCTTCCATAGCCAGGCTCTGTTGGCCAAGAGTAGGATACATGTCATCTGCTGTTAGCCACAGTTTCACCTGCCTGGTTTCAGTTACCTGTAATCAACCATGGTCCAAACATATTAAATGAAACAGCAGATAATCCTCACTTCATAAGGTCTATTAACCTAACTCTTCATCACAATGCCTGCATTATTCATCTCATCATGTAGGCGTTTTATCCTCTCATGTCATCAGAGGAAACAGCACGATAAAATATTTTAAGAAATGGACCACATTCACATAACTTTATGACAATATATTGTTATTCTATTATCTGCTTTTGTTGTTAATTACTTACTTGCCTCACTTATAAATAAGACTTCATCATACTATGTAAGTACACAAAAACCAGTATACATAGGGTTTAGGGCCACCTGAGATTTCGGGCCTCCACTGGGGTTCTTAGAATGTGTCTTCCGTTCATGTCATCATTCAGCCATGTTGCAGAAGTTCAAGAGGATGACTGCAGCAAAGGAAAGAGGAGTGACAGAGAGCTGCCTATGGTGCTGGGGAGGAGAACAGTGAGCTACAAGGCAAAACCACCATTTCCCCATTATATGTAAATATGTGATCATGGAAGGGAATGCTGGGAGGCAGGTGCTTGGGTTGCCTGCACTGTATTTTGTCTTATCCGGTTACCTAAAAATCAGAGATGTCTTCACTACAGACTTTTGATAGAATCTTCCAAGTTACTTGGTTTCTAACCAAAATGTTTATTCCTGGAGGTTTTCTAACATAGTGATTCAGCCAGTGGTATAAGTGCCATCAGTGGAAACCCCCCAAAAAAAGCCTAACATTGAAAAACACTTCCCTCACCAAAACCTGGGTATTTCT